TATATCGGCAAAACAAATTAGTGTAATAGGCAATTTTGGAAACCAACTGTTTGCTCATGTATGCAACTATTTATGGTTTCTTAAAATTATAGGCGATAAGCTTCATAAATATTTCTTTTGGATAAAATTAATGGTCTTCAGTGCCAGGTGACTTTTTCCCCCAAATCAATATGCAATAGTGTATTGACGAAAGACTATTTTTTCACATCACAATTTATTAGTTAAAATGAGGCTTTCATAATGATGATTAATGAAAATTCCAGAAAACTTGTGAGTCAATGGCAATGTCTGAGCACTGGATCTGGGCAGATGGAACACCTATCTTCTCTTATGCAGGGAGAAGGAAGACAAGGTCTGGCTTTCATCCCCCCAAAAACACTAGGATGAATTATTAACTGATCAAACAGTCTGACAGCAGCTAGAGGAGACTAAGGTGATAAGAACAGTCAAAACAGATTTGCTCAGTGCAGATCAGTGTGACTTCTTTCACTGTCGGGAAGGAAGCTGAGCTCACAGAAAGAAAATGAAAAACATGATAGATTTTGACTTCAGTAAGCCTTTTGACACAGTTCCACATGACATTTTATATTTGTGCACATATGACAGTGAAGTGTTGATTGCTGCTCTCTAAGAATAGTTTTGCAGTTAGCTGAGCATCCACACTGTTATAATTTCATCCAGCCCACACCTACTGTATCTTGTATTCTCTAATCTCAACATAGGGACTTTTTCATATAATATGTAGTTAAACTGTGAAACTCATTGCTTTAAGATGCTGTGGGTTCTAAAAACATACAAAAGTTGACAAGTAAGTAGACAAATTCAAATAAAAAATTCTGTCAAGGCTATTGAAGACCAAGAATTTCCCTTTCCATTCTGGCATTCCTTGAGCAACAGCTTGTCAGGATGAGGGGAGCATAAGCAGAAAATGCCATGTTTGCCCCATTCCTGCACTCTCCTCTACTTACAGACTATTGGGAATTACGGGTAGGTGAAGGTTGATTCTGATCTAGGGTGAACAATGTCATATGGGACTGCATTAAAAGTCTTACTGAAAATCAGATTATAGCAAAACTTCTTAAGAACCCTCAAGATTACAGAACTCGTCACCCCATTTTTTCCACGTGCTATGACTGGGTGTCACTGGAACGTATTTCTTCTTGTTCTGACCCTGGTAGAGCCACCGAGTTCTAATGAAGATCTCTCATATTACCCTTTGGGTACCATGGAGGAAATGTGTTAGGGATGAGAACACCTGCTAAAGTGTTCGGAGTACCCTTGTTTTAAGATGTGCCATGCCCTAAGCAGGGAATCCTTTCTTGTATGTTAAGATCTATTAACATTAGAAGAAACACAGACAAGTCTAAGAGCCCTTCCTCATGACATCTCAAAGCAGAATAGCATCATCTCACTAAGAAAACTGGCTTCCTTGACTTCTGTGTGATACCACAAAGGATTTACTATATTCTTTTGTGCTCTACTACTGAATTATATTTTAACTCATTCCAGACTTCACACAGCTTGTCTCTGTCGCAGGCTTTGGAAGGCACATTCGTAACACCTTGGTGCATCACCTTATGGGAAATGCTTAAGGCATAATCTTCTCAATACAGCCATAGCCAATCTCCTTCTGTGAACATCATATAAAGACCAAATGTGGTGCCGCAGATGGCAAAATTGGATGTGGGATGCTTAATTTGAATAACATTTTCTTTTATTCTGTGCTGGTTTCATGGAGGGGGGGAGGAATCTTTTCACACGTTTACTTCTGTCTGCCTTTCCATTCAGCCTGTTGCCTTGTCAAAGAAAGGCACTGCCAAATTGTTCTTTCTGCCCACTAAGTGTAAGACAACAACTAAATTAAATTAACCTCAATCACCACAAATTACAAAAAAGCCACAGTAACCAGTCTTACTAAATAATAACTATGTTTGTGGCGTCCTCTTACTGTAGAATTTAAAGAACAGACTTCTAATAAACACATATTTGCCAGGGAATTATTTAGCTATATTCCATACTGCTTCAACACATGACATCAGGTTAGATAACTTACTGCTGCGACCCATCTATGAGTAGGCAACATACACAGTATTTCATTCCAGAGGATACTAAACTTCTTCAAGAGAAAACTGAAATTAATGTCTGTCATTAAAAAGCAGTTTGTCTAGCCTGTCCTCTAAACGGAATCTGTGTTCAGTACAATGGGTGAAAAAGACTACAATTAACTGAAAAACATACAGAAAGCTTATATTGTCTCCCCAGAGAGAAGCCAGGGCACCAAGTACGCAATGCTACAGCACAGGTATTTCATGAGGTAAACTAGGAAGTGATGGTGTAAGCAGGAGTTGCAGCCAAATTATATGACAGGAAAATGATGATGCACGTGTTTAATTTTTCAATGTCTTTTTTATGCAGCTTTGGCTCAAGAGGAAGAGGGATGGGACTGTAGGCAAAGCATAATACTAACAGGCATAGACTGATCTGAGGCAATACACAGCTATAAAAAAGATGGGATGTTGTTTGCCTTCCCTCAAGGACCACATCAACATTATTACTCTTATGCTGCTGCTCCCAGGAGACACATTAAAGGGAGACTTTCAAAATATCATTCAAGCTGTGGAAAAAATTATTTCCGAAACACTATTTTGCTGCTCTGTGAAATAAATATATCTATTTCAATCTTTTCCTTTAGCATTCATACAGGGTTCATCCATTGATGAGTATTCTCACTGAGGCACAGAGTCTAATGACCACCTAATATTTGCATAATGATTGAAGATGGCACATGATTTCATTGTGGACCTCTCCAATAGCTGTTTCATTTACAAGAAAAAAGCTCTATTTCTAAATACTGCTAGGAGTATCTACTGAAATCCTGGAATTAATTGTTAGTAAAATTTGGTTTCTGCTAGCAAGCACAATATGCTAAAAAATACCAGGAAAATTCAGTTCTCTCCTCACTTTCTCCTGCTTCTTCCCTTTTTCCCTCCAAGTAGTCCATAAGATATATGCACCTGACTTAACGTTTAATGCTGTCAAATACACATTAAAATTAAAAAAAGCATAAAGAGCAACTGAGAGGTTGGGACTGGGAGGAAATCCCCCATCTTTAGTTCTAGGTATGAAAAAAATTTAGAGGAATTTACTCATAGAAATAAGAAGATACAAAACCTTCAACTGAAAAAACAAATTAATGTTGTTGTTCCTTTAAACAGCAGCAATGAACATTTATGAGGATTACGGAAATAACATTAAGGCTACAAAGCAGCATTTCTCTTGAATTGAAAGAGCAAATTTGAAGTGAGTGGGGATATCAATACATCAGCATTTACAGAGGCACAGCAAATAGCTTAAACAGAAAATATTAAAAACACTCCTCTTGGGCATAAAAAAAAGTTACCACACATACCAGCAACCAAAACAGACCCATCTACCTCATTATGTATGAACAGCGTGCTCTGAATAAGCCCCACAAACTGATAGAAAAGAAGGAACTGAAAGATGGCAAACCCTATTTATAAAACGGTTTTAATATAATGAAATCGTCTGCACGTAATTTTCATCTGCTTCAACAAAGAAGAGGTATGTTCTTCATTAAATCACTTTCATAATTATGATTATGATTTTTACATATATCTTACACAAAGAAGCATTTCTGCAGCATCACAAAGAAGAAATTCTAAGAGGCTGGGCATTCCATATTTCATTAATAAGAATGTCCCTTTAAGAAAAAAAAAAACCCAAAAGATGGTTTACCCAAAAATAGATTTGCAGAAATTCACAAAGATCAGAAAAAGATCTTTGTGACCTTTGAGAGTCCTTATGTCCTAGACTATAAGAAAATATACTTGATAGCTGGATTTAGTTTAACATTTTATAGGTCACAAGCAGTTGCTCTGCCATCAGAAAGGATTTTTTTGCCAAAACCATTCTTCTGACATTTAAAAATGCTTGGCTGGTGTGTCCACTATTGTGCAAATACAGTTGGAATAGAATATATGAAGGTAAGGAAAAATTCTAACAAAGAAAGAAAAGAGTATTTGCTTGTTTGCAACTTTCCATTGCAAAGGCTTCTCCCATTGTTTCCTATTCATTTCAGTACAAAGAGAAATATATTTCCTTTAGCAATTAACAGTGTATTCACCTACTAAAACTTTCAGTTTTAGTTTGCCCACTTAATGTATATTTTTTTCCTAGTCGACATTTCCATTCTGAAATAGGAAAGAAAAAAAATGTGCATGTATAATTTTTTCTGTTAATATCCTCCTCTACGCTCAGTGCATAGCAAAGGTACACAACCTACCCAGGAGCTCATGCATTATGAAAGGACGTCTGCTTGCCCTCGGTGAATGAGACAGCAGAACTTAACACAACGTGTTCTAGTGTGTTCTAGTGTGCTGGCTTACTTTTCCAACAAGCTAGGTTACAAACATTTACTCCTGTATTTTCAAATGACTGAAGAATTTTCCTCACTGTTCGTAATCTGCTATAGAAAACGTGTCATTAAAACATGCCCAGTAAGGCATACGGTTCTGCGATCCACACTGAACACACCTAGCTGTACTCTGCCTGAGCCTTCTCCAGCAACACTGCCTGCTTCCCAGTGGGCCCATGAGAAGACTCTGAGAGGTGAATAAACTGCTAGCAGGTAAAGTCATTCTATCAGGTGAAACCATTTATGAGTTATCACCTAATATATTTGGGGCCTTGCTGTTCCTGCCTTCTTCCTCTTCAACCACACAAAGCATCTCAGGATATATCAACTTTTTATGTTCCTTTTAATACAAGTGAAACTAGAGAGCATCTTCTTCTTGAGAAAAAAATCTGAAGCCACAAAACTGGGTTTAGGATTAAACCTAGAAATAATATTTTCAATTGCTTTATCAACCATTACACTTAATCTTCAATATACCATTCTTTTTATATTTTAACCTGCATAAGGAAATAATATCAGTAATTTGAATATCAAGCATGTTAACAGATTTTATAACCATACTTACAGAAAAAACAGCAGCCAGTGTCTCAGCAGCACCAGTACTTAGAGTAACATAGGGGATTGTTTCACGATTAATCCCAGCTTCACTAAAGATGTTGTTTGTGTAGTACCAGATCTGTATCAGAGAGAAGAAAATGAGTTATTAATCATTATGGCTTGAACTACAATATATCAATATTCAGTTCAAGCATCTGATCTGCCAGAGACCAGACTTGTTAGATCACTGAGCACTCCCAAATGACCGAGGGCTGGGCAGGACAACAAATGAAGGTAAGGTGCAAATTTCAGGTGGATTAGGTACAACACTGCTGTACTTCTGCTGCAGACCCAGGCAGAATTACAAGCAGCTTTAACTTAATTTAGCTTAATCCAATTTAGGACTAAATTAAAGAAACTCACTTTAAGTTTGAACAAGAGGATACAAATAGGTTTTGTGTGGCTGAGCCACACTGCTTAAAAAGCAGGGTTGGGTGGCTTTATGGAATACTTCAATGGCACGTAACAACAGAGGAGAGAACAGGAAAGTGATGCTGAGAGGCACTGCAGAAACTGCTCTTTTTCGGACAGAAGGTGTGATATTTATGTCACTTTAACCAAGCCATCACCCTAATCTCTCTTTATTATCAAAGATACTTTTAGAGTGAGAGTTGCTTGGTGAAAAGTAAAAAGCTGCTTTTAGGATAAAATTAATCATAGGCTAGAAGGAGCTGTGGACAGAATGGACACAGCTGGACTAATGGACAGAAACACAGGGAGCACAGGGTTGCTGCCTTAGAGGAAGTCATTCATGTTTGGTCAGTAAAACCATGTCCAGTGCTGACACTATCCAGACAGAGAATATATAGTGGTAATATTCTAAAAATAACAAGTCTGGTAAGTATCAGAGCCCCATTCACATCACAAATAAAGTCTGAAAACCACACAATATTTATATTGGACTCAAGGTGACAGCAAAGAACTAGCCAAAGATTTTGGCTGCCAAAAGCACGCGACAAGAAGAGGCTGCCTTGGAGGGAGAAAAGAGACAACAGAAATAAATGGAAACAACTGATTATCAGAAGAAAAAGTTCTAAACAACAGCTGATTACCTGTGACAACAAAACAGAAAGCCAGAGATAATGATAGCACCAAACATAAAAGTAGCACTGATATTTTTTTCCTTATGCTGTCCATGTGACAAGCCCTAACAGGGTGAGCACTGCTAAAGAAAAGGCTTGTCTGATGAATGGAAGTGTTTTGATTACATGAGGAAAACCCTGCTGTGTGCCAGCATATTGTACACACGCTACATCTGTTCATCAAGCTACTAAAAAAAAAAAAGTCATTTTAGATTCCCAACTAGTCCTTCAGCAATGCTGCTTGTCCCAGACCAAAGAAGAAACTCCAACTCATCTTACATAAAACAAAATAAAATACCAATGGCTAAAAAGTCATCTATATCACCTTACAGATCAAGAAAAGCTGACTGAAGACTTTTATGCCGACTGCTGGTGCATCATCTCTCACCAGAACAGATGTAGTGATAATAAGTGATTGCAGCAAACTTCTCTACGTGATGTAGCGTGTGCTGGTGTTAACCGCACATTTCATCGCCCTGCTGACATAGAGCAGACTGAAGCAAAACCAAGGATCAGCTCTCAGTTCCCTCCGAAATGTTTGTGACCACTGATAAATTTTTTGGGACCCAGTACTCTAACAACATATTCACCTCCCATACACCTAGGCTATATATAAGAAAAATAATGAAGCATGACAACATGATAAAAGTAATTTTTTTCTCCATACTACAGGCTACAAGATCGAAAAATTCATGCAATGAAAGTTAGAAAACATGTAATTTAGGCATTTCATTCTTGGTATCAGTTTTGCACAGAAGGTAGAGCTTCTAAAGATGATGGCGATATTGCAGGTATGCAATAAAAGAGGAAGAGGCCAAAGGGTCACTTAAGCAGACAACTCCTGAATGCAATTTGCCCAAACGTAGCAACTAGAATATAAGATGTTTTGGAAGTGGTTTTACAGAAGAGAATGACTGACCATTGATGGTAAGAGTGGTAGCAACACAGCTACATTAAAAAACTGGCAGAGAAAAGACAGGATGAGGTTCACTGACTTATTAATCTCTGTAGCGGCACAAAGATAAAGTTAGGGTGAAAATTAACAAGATGCACAAATTTCAAAACAATAAAAGTGAATGTTTTTCAGCCTGTGAATCATTAAACAGGAAAATACATTGCTGTAGGGTATTACTGAGACAAACTTACTAGGCTAATGATGACTACTCTGCTTTCACTTAAATTATTTTTCTAACACGGTTTTTGTTAGCTAATGATTTAATTAGCTATCAAAATTAGGTAATGATTGGGCTAAAAGTTTTGAAATGAAAGAGCTGTAGAAAATGGGGCAGAAGGTCCAAAAACCCATAAACAACTGCTGTCAAGTCCAAATCAACACAGCGACATCAGACTTCCTATGTCCATCGTGGCTTGCTGTTGCTTCACAGGCTGAAGTAAAAGTTTGCCATTTTGGTCAGTGAAACAGCTGCATCTCTGCAGTCCGATTTCTGTGAGTTTGGAGGTAACATTTTAGCATTCTTGTCTGCAGACTACAGTCAGCTACATGACGGTTGCTTCCTTTGCTTATCATAAAATTTTACTCCCATAAGCTCTGAGCTTAAAGCAGCATGTGGTATATGTTATCAGTGGTGTTCCCAAACTTCCTCACACCACTGACTCAGTTTTCCAGTCCTTTTATTTCTCATCCAGCTCCCAACATAGACTTCTTCCTAAGAAATTCAATTCTTCAACAGGAAAAGAAAGCAACGAAAAGCAGACAGATAACACCACAGACATATACCGTGTTGCACACCGGATGTGTACTGCATACTCACCCCTTCCTACACTACCTGATGCCAGGTCTTCTCTACAGCAAGTGTGAAGCACACACTCTGGTAGGTCTTTTACATAGTGGAAACATGCATTGCTGCACGGCCCCCATCCCTTGCATGACTTTTTGCCATTTGAAATATAGTCCCTGACTTAATGACAGACCCCACGGAAGCCCAGGGATCCCGCTTGGGAATGACTCTGTCAAAGCAATATGCAGTGCAGTGTATTTCTTGATACGAAAAAGGATAAAGTTCACCAATGAGAACTTCATTGTAGTTTTGTGTCTTCTTTAGAACAGAGATATAATGGTGGAAGATAAATAAATTTATTAGGGATGATACGTATGATGGATAAATTTTATCAGATGAAAAGAGACAAATACAGATTCATTTATTTATGTCAACTTAGGTCAGACTGTCTCGTATTTCATTATAATTGAATACAATAATATGATTAGGGCTTCCCATTGATTTCTGTTCCACGTGGAAACCAAGAAACATACTGTTTTTAAGCAAAACAGATTTTTTGAAGTAAAAGCCTTAAAAGGAAGCAAGTGTTCTCAGGTACCAGCAGGATGATTACAGAAGTCTGCTAGTTGGTAATTTCCCCTGAGAGCGACCTGAGACTCTTGCCTGAGAGAAGCCCAACTTTCCCATATGCCCTGCCCAGATGGCAGTTGTGGAAAAGACCACACTGACTAACAGGGCACTGCAGACAAAGCAAACAGTGGGAGCTGCGAGTTAGAAGGAAGCATTCACAGCCAGTTAAACCTTGCTGATGCTGGCTTGCACCCAGCAGATTAGCTCGGGTGCAGCCATGCAAACCAGGACCTGAATTCAGCAGTATCTGTCACACCTGTACCTGTGTTCTAATCTCTTTCCCAGTGGCATTCTCTTTTTTAATTTAGGCAATGTGCTTCATTATTTGAGCAGTCTGTTTCTTACTATAAGTGTTATTTTATTTCACTTATGAATTGATAAATCTTAGAAAGACTGGATGACAAGATAATTCAATTTTCTTAAAAAAGTATCCACAGTGAGGAACAAAATAGCCTGTCATTAGCACTGAAATCCTACAAATAGAATAAAACATCACCTATACAAATGTTTTTATAGCTCACCTCACAGCATGAAAAATCTTCCAGCTCCCTCCTAGTACTTCATCAAAAACTTTTTGATACCAGAGTTCTAATCACATCAATCTTTCAAATGGTCTTGGACAAATTACTTTGTATTAGGAGTTTTAAAGCTACAGAGATACCTGAGATACATCTGAACTATTCAGCTTTCACTGATGAGCCCTGTGGGGGAGAAACTAGCTGAAGTATGCTGTAATGCACAAAGCCAGTAATGCACAGTAAGAAGCTGCGTTTGCCGAGCTCCTTTCAGCAGTGGTCATATTGCCCTTCTTATATATAAGCAGTTAACACCTTTAAACTGTGAAAACCCCTTTCACTTTGAGGTGCTTCATGAGAACATTTGTGTTGTTCAATGTTGTTCATCAAACCCAGATGTCACAAGCATGCAGCAAGGAAAATTCTGGATGGATATAAAGAAAACACTTTTCACAGTGTGAGTGGTGAAAACACCTGGCACAGGTTGCCCAGGGAGGTTGTGGACTCTTCAGCCTTGGAGATACTTAAAATTCAACTGCACAAACCACTCATGAGCCTGAGTCAACCCTGAAATCGGCCCTGCTCTGGGCAGGGGGTTGGACCAGGTGACCTCTAATCTAAATTGCCCCATGACCCCCTCCTAGCTGATGCTCAGACACGTGGAAAAGGAGACTTTGATATCCATTAGCCTCAGACACACTAATGGTCAAGAGGACTTGTCGCCATTGTCTGTTTTGCTGGTTTTGTTTTTCTCTTTTGCTCCACTTTCCAAGAAAGGCATATTGAAGTGCAACTTATTCTTCAAATTGTACGGAACAACAGCAAAACTCAAACATCTAGTGCAACCTCCTAAAATCATTCACAGGAACTTTTGCTGACTTCTATTAAGTAGAGAACTGAATTAATCCAAGCAGAAATGTCTACTGAAAAGACTTGAGTTTACCCAACACAAACAAAGACAAGCCATATCAAATCAGATCTTAATGGACCACAACCAGAGAATCTGAGTATCAGAAGCAGAAGCTGCATGTTCTTTCTTTGTTGATCTGCATTACCTTTCATGTATTCCTTCAAAGTTAACACAACATGGCTTCTACCCCTTTTTCGGTTCAGAAAAAAAAAAAAAATGATACAACTCTCTGTGGACCTTCCTACATGCTGATGTAACAAAATAATTAATAAGAAGAAACAGCCAAAATCAGAGAGTCATAAAGGTTGCTGAATGGTACAACCCTTGTATTAAAAAGAAAGAAAGGTGCATGCCAGGAGATGCCATGGCCTGAGGAAGGACACTTACAGCATTTAGCCCACAGAGCTGGTAGCAGCCCATGGTGACGACCACGGTAATGACCTGCCATCGCACAGCACGGGTTCTCAGGAGCTCAAGCACCGACACTAACTTGGTGTTTCTTTGGACTCGAGACTCTGCCAAAACTTCTTCTATTTCATGAGACACATCGTCTTTCCCAAGGAAGGTCTGAAATGCTACAAAGAGAGACATGTACTTGAGGCCAGATATTTGGCACCATGTGCATTTATAACAGGTTTGTTTCACAGAAATGGAAATACGTGACACAGAGACATACATGGGCTACAATAATTCTTCTGCCAACAACATCATTCTGCTGTAGGTATTATCTGGCTCATTCCTGCAATTGGTCTCAGAAACTGCAACAAGAATATAAATTATCTGGCACCCTAACAGATCTCCTTATATTATTTAATATATAACATAGCCTAAGGTCCACTGCAGAGTCAAAACTCTGTGTAACCTGAAAAAAAGGGTTTAATAGCAAAGCAGTTCTGAACATTATTTGACTTGGCTACTTTTGCAACCTAACAATATAGCAGACTTCATTGCTGGAAATAGACCGCACAGAAAAACAGTAAGATGCAATAATGTATGTTAAGTCTGGTATAACCAAGAAAAGGCAGATATTTGAAAGGAATAGCTACTAATTTTCATATTACCTCTTCGTTTTACTAGCACATAGACAAGAATTCACTTTGTCAAGATGATTAATATTAGGAAGAATTACCCAGTGCAGTTCACGACTTTCTATTTGTCAACATTGGAGACATGGCAGGGAATCTACCTGGCAAATGTAAGCAAAAAAAACAACCTCATCTCCCCAGAAAAACATACCACCTAGTATGATACTATTGCACACCAATGACTTACTGAGATATCCTACCACTGTGAATAATAAAAGCTTTCCATCTCAGACCTCCTCCAAGAGCTACTACAAACAGATACCTCCTAATGGAGGTGGTGTATCTCCATCAACCTTGTTTTACAGATACCGTATATGCTGATGATACTTTCATCATAATCATATTAACATACCCCAGGGGTTGGCTTTTTAAGAAATATTTAAAATGCTCATCATCTTGGAATGACTACAGAGAAACAATTACACTACATGTACCCCTGCAACAAAGCCTTGCGACCCAGTAGGATGCTAACTCTAAAAACAATCCTTTACACAGCAGGTCACTTGAAATTGTTATTTTTAAGAAGTTAATAAGGTCATTTTATTCTCCTAAGAGCCAAATCAATTTTTCTCTTCTCCACAGCTTTACATAGTACTGCCTATAAATAAATGACCTTCACATTTTGCAGTAAGCAAACACTCTTTTTGGGTCATAGAAAGGATGCGGATGGTCAAGAAAGCCAGAGACACTGACTAGTCATGATTAAAATGCCTGGACTCCATCTAGGTTTTGAAGTTACAAAATTTAACTTTATCCAGTAGGTGAAAAGGCCAAGTGGTGGCATTTCAGTGTTGCGAGGGACAGGTCACACAAATCGACCGGTGACCTCCCCAGAGCATCCCTCACTGTCCCTTTGGTGAATGCACAATGCTGAGCACTCTGCCTGGCTCCCAGACCGGCAGCGTGGGGAACTAACTTGAGCTCTGGGCCAAGATTTTCAGAGGCAGTTAGCACTGCTATTGCATTTTAATAGGCTCTACGTGACTCTGCTGAAGAAGAAGGATGATTTTTAAGGGATGAACACTGATCACCTCTGGGTGTTGAGTCAATTCATAACATTAATTTATTCTGATATCCAGTTTCTCTCTTAGGAGAAGAGCGATTTTAAATCCCTCAGAAACAACATGAGGTTTATCTTTTCACACAGCCCTTACAATCAAAAATGAGCTAACAAATTTAAACCTCAGAACCGAAATTTAAGCGGCTGATCTTTGTCCTTGTACCACTGCTCACTCATTAGTAAATGATGTGCTAAATGTCTGTTAAAATGAGTGTGATGTATTTAAAGGCTACAATAAGAATCACAGAATCACAGATGTTAAATTAGAACGATGTGTGCTTATGGTATGCTACAGTCAATGTCTCATATTTAAATTACACCTTCCTCAGCATTATTAGAGCGCTGATAAAGAAAAATTTAGAAAAAGATAAGAACAACCAGACATATATCACCATGCTCTTCTTTGAAAAGATTCTCTCAGATTTTTAAGCATCTGTTTTATCGGTGTAAATTAGGTCAGCGCACAATTTCCTTTATTCTTCCTGTCCTTAGAATCCTTGACATTCCTGTAGGGCACACAAGTCAAAAATATAGGTGCAGTCAAGTAAAAAGAAAGCAATCTGTCTTTTCTGCACTAAGGAGCCTGCTACATTTCTAGAGGGACCAGGAAGTCAAAAGACAATTACCAAAATTACTGAGTAAAAGGCACAAAAAATATAGACACCCACTTTTTTTTTTTTCTTCCCTCCCTAGTATTAGGACCAGAGATGTAAATGCCAGTAGGAAAATTTGACAGATACTTAAAATTACCAACAAGTTGAGAAATGCTACGCTATACATGCAGTTTTGAGTAGACAGCACTCAGCCTTCCTGGAAAAACACATTTTCCTGCTATTCAACACATCTTTAAGTTTCTTCCATTAACAGTTTTTCAGTAGAGTAAGAATCACAATTTCATAAATAATTGATGTGGAAATAAATTCTGCATTAGCAGGGAGACGGGAAAACTCAAAGGTCTTTCAATGTGTGATGTTCAATTCTATTCATTTTACATTTTAAACCCCTGCATTATTGGCACTGAGAAGAACAGCAGTCGTTGCTCTCCCTCCTGCAATGACTCATTTCCCTCCATGACTGGCTGCTTCTCTCTGTAGGGATGTCTTATTTTCATGTCACGCTTAAAACCTTCTAAGGAGTTACAGTTCTGGCAACTTTTAGTCCTTTCCCAGATTTCTTTTTCATTCCCTTGGATCAGAAGGTCCTGGATGCTCAGCTTTCAAAAGCTGGTACATGGCCTTTATAAACAGCAAAACAAGTGCATGGTTCCATTCAAGGGGAAAGGAGACAGGAAACCCTTCCATTTACACCACCAGCTTCTATTTGTCTGAGCTAAGTGAAGGTGAAACATTTGCACGTGGTTCAAAGGTCTGAACGAAATCAGTCATCAGTCAGTACTGTCCTTAAAACCAATCAGGCCTTTCAATTAACTGAAGATGGGCACTCAAGAACTCAACTACATGGGGAATTACTAATTCTTTTTTCACTGTAATACTTCCAGGACTGTTCAAAGAAATCAGATGTTATCGTAAAGACTGAATTAGCATGTAAAATTGAGAAGACATTTTAAAGGATCAAAATGCTAGTGTGTGGTTTATGGAATAGAGCCAGCCCCAGGAGAAAGGAGGCAGAAAAAGAGAGAAGTGGTCACAGGTAGTAGTTTGGGCAACACAGCTTATGCCTTTAAAAAAAAACAACCAAAAAAAAAAGCAGCTGCATGAGTATTGCTGTCATCTGTTTCCCACGGACACATTCACTCTCACGTCACTGACAATTAAGCATATTAAACCCAATGTCTTTAACACAAAGATCCCTGTTAGCGGGGCTCAGAAGACATCACTCATCTGAGGCCCCACCACTCCCGTGCTCACGGAGTAGCTTCTCTCATAGTGGTGTGCTTTATGTTCACACATAACACTCATCCCTTCTCTTTTTTTCATCACTTACACAACATATTTTTGGCTCTTCTCCCTCTTTCAGTCTCTTACTGGCAATTAAAGGCATCATGCTCTTTTACACCTCTGCCAAACGAGAAAATGAGGCTGCTTGTATTTTGGGAGTTATAGTCTGGTTATCTCCTGAGGACAGAAGAAAAGGAGGAACAGAACTTCACAGAAACTCCATGCCCTACATTATCCCACTGGATTTTTATTGCTCTAAAACAATGAGGAAGATTAATGTTGTCATACCCATTTTAGAAGCTTTGACATACATGTACATTTTAGAGTATTTTACAAAGACTAATGTAGTAATCCGCCTTAAATACAGCAGACCTTTTACAAATAACAGTTTTATGTTTCTCCAACAAGATATAATCCACAGTGAAATGTATATTTGCATGAATAGCCTTGATCTGTTAGCAGAAAGAAAAAGGATTTAGTCAGAAGAAAGATTTGCACATTTCTGGTATTAATATGCAGACTTAACCTAAGAGACAAATAATTCAAAAGCATTATTGTAGTCATCATTAAAATGGAGAATACGGCATTGTCATTATATGGCTTACAAGCAGTAGGTTTTTTTAATAACCCAGAAACTCCTCTGGTCTTCCTAACACTCAGGCTTTTCCTCCCCCATTTCTGCAGATAATACTAACATCCAGATCATTTTACTTGATTGTTGATTCACAATTATTCACCCTCCTCTTTGGTGAATTCCCCTCCCCACCTGATTTCATTACTCCACTGCATTATGCCAGATACCTGAAACCTGTCTCATGCCTAATCTGGATTTCTCCACGTGCCCTGGGAAGGGGAGAAGGGCTCCAAGACCCCCACACTGGTGCCCTCTGCCCAGTCATTCCATGAATCAACCAAACTCCTTCCCCACCCATCCACATGCTGAACAGAAACCTGAAGATACTCTCACTTGCAAATCTACATTAAGAGAGGAGGAACTACGAAGGATGTGCAATTGGGTTGACGGTTGGACTTGATGACCCTTGAGCTCTTTTCCAACCTTGATGATTCTATGATAAGAAAATTGCTTGTGTTCCTACCATGCTTCATAATTAGGCACATAGATACTTCATAACACAGAAATATGATATGATCTATGCTGCCTTACAGGTGGATTTTATGAATTCCAAAATGATGTCTAAGAATCATCCTCACCAATTTTGCACCCAGTCTCCTACAGGCTACCTTGGCTGTGCAACAGGGTGGCCCATTCTGCAAGCATGGCTGCTTGATAGGCAAGGAACAGGAGGAAAATTCAGGGGGATGGATAAACCTCACTGTCCTACGGTCCTTAGCAAACCTCTGTCTGGAATCATTGGTCCCTAGCTCTGTAAACTACACTCAAAATGAGTTTCACTCTGTACTAAAACGTATCGCAGTATTATTTTTTTCTTTTAGAATTAATTAATCAGGTTCAAAAGCTTCTATTGAGAAGCAGTTACTTTGAAAAAGTTTTTATATCAGCCTCCTCTTTTTTTTTTTCCAGAGTATCTAAATTCATAGTCTTTAAGGTGGCTCATGTAAGCCACCTTCTCCTAATCAGCAAGCCAATTGCTAAAGCTCATTTCCCTTCAACTACCAAATAAAGTGTGGGTAACTTTGCTCTCCTGATGCCTTCTACTCCAAACTCCACCTCCAATACTTGCATTGCAGCCTGCAGTTGGCCCATTACCAGCACCAGGAAATCGTGTGAATTTCAAGGCAGGTGGTGTTACTTTACTGCCAACTTTTTACAATTTTTAAACTCTACCTATGAGTGGGCCCAGCTTCACTGTCAGTGGTGAGGTTTCCAGGTACTGTGGCAGCATTTCCGATAGATCCCTATAACAAATGTGACATTATGCAATGGCATTGCAGATGTGGACTCATTGGCAGCCATAGCTCTGGAAATACATTTACAATTTTATCAGGTAGAAATGAGCCAGTTTAAACTTGGCACCCAAAGGTGTTTCTTCCCAGCCCAGCCGTGGTGCTGAAGAAGTTACCAGCCAACAGCCAGCCCCAAGCTGCTCCCCACTGTGGTCCCTGCTTGGGGCTCTGACCATGCAAACCCTTTGCGTTGTGGTTCCTGGAAAAGCTGTTCTCTACCTCATCAAATCTCTGCTAAAACGCTCTCCCCAAAGCCTTGTTGCTTTTGGTCTCTTTTCTTTTTTCTGTTTTTTTTACACTCTACTATACCTCTAAATGTCTAAGGCTCCAGCATTTACAACACTCTTCATTCAACACCAAATTCAGACAACATGGGAGTCTCTTCATTAGCATGCCATTTCTATTTCAGAGTGCTCAACAGAACAAAGAAGGCCAGTTTTTCATTTCATAGTAGAAGAAACAGGACAGAGAGAGCTGCATTAATTTCACGCTAAAAGATTATTGAAATTAAGTTTCAGGGGCTGATGCACACTTTGCAAGTAATTTTGCAAGCAACTACTTAGTGACTAAAAATGTCAAGAGTTATATTCAAATGAAGTTTTTAGGAATAATTTTTAAAGTGCAGTTACATTCCGCAAACATTTTGGTATTATGATCAGACTCCTTCCTTCTTTGTACACTCCTATTTTTAGTGTGTCCCTCTAATAAGAAAAACCAAATTTTCAGCATTCTCTCAGCCATAATATACTAGAACTCACAACTGACAACTGGGAGGTCACACCACAACCAGAATTTTACTGGGAGGAGTAAGCAGCAGCTGTGATCACACACGCAAATTCCTTTATACACAGAACCTAAAGTAAGAACAAATTATTCTGGTCTGTGTCTGTGAAAAGCAAGCCATACAGAAGCACTGAAAATATTCACTTAAACAGGTGTATGAGGTTTTTATTAGATCTACAAAGGTTACTGAGTTACAGAAGCACCGGGTCAAACACAGTGACTACTGAACAAAACCCAGCAACAGAATTGGTGCTTTTGTTAGCCAAACTGCAAAGACTGTAGATAAGGCAGAGTCAAGAAGACTGAAAGCACCTTTCACTTTCAAATTAACCCTGCATATAATGGTTGATGCACAACGGCAGGATGATTTGGCTAGCTTTGTATCACTATTGCATAATGCTACATAGGTCAGTTCGTTGCAGAACTTCTTTTATTAAAAAAAAAAAATAAAATCAAAGCAACAGTTATATTTACACACACAAAAAAGGTGAGGTGAAATAATTGCCAAGAGACTCTCTCCTATTAGAATATTCTGCTTTTACTGCGATATCAGCATTACTTTCCAGCCTGCATCCCTACAATAAACATCCTTTGTTGCAAGTCAGTAACACATCATACCTTTTTCTGCCTTGCTCGTGTTCTGTTTTTCAAGTAGGAGGTAACGAGGACTTTCAGGAAGAAAAGGCAGAATCACTACTTGTATCAATGAAGGAACAACAATCGCTCCAAATAAGTAAGGCCACCGAGATTCCTGCAAACAGATGCAAACGTAAGTCTGTAATATTCTCCCATAGTGATACTAGGAAGAAAAATAGCTTTGATGGGAAAAGCTTGACTTTTCATCATTCAACACATTGTGTCAGTGAGCAGAATGATGTCTTCTGCCTGACCTTAGTAAGCAGTTCGAACACTTCCCCCTCAGATCACCTTACTCAAGGGCTGACGAAAACAGAATTCAAGCCAACTGACTAAGCATGAAAACAGAGACACAGGGAAGCTGGAAAACAGCAACACGTTACATGTTTTTCCTTTCCTTCAGCATCAACAACTATATATGTAAAAATATGATATATAGTCAAACATATATTCTACAAGTCATCCCCACTCACAGTAGTATCACTCATTAGCTTTAAAAAACAATACAACACTATTTTCATATAGTTACATATACCTGCATGTTGTGTCTTAGCCTAATTGATCTAAAAAAAAAATATATATATATATA